GTTTCGTTGAACTGCAGATTAAACGTAAGGAGAATTTCAAGGTAGTGCTGAGTACAATTTCCAACAGTATTCTGAGGAGGATTCCAATGTAATTCCAAAGAGCAGTGTTCGGAAAATCATTCTCAAATCTCATTCATTGAGTCTCTCTGAGAGAATAAACTGACGTGCGAATGTGGCAAGCAAAACTCATGCTTGAGATTCTCATGCATCCGCACGCACTCACACTCGCATCGCCAAAAAAAAAAACATGCCAGCTTAAAACTCAGAGAAACCGCTTAAACGTCAATTGATGGTTAAAACAATGAATAGCGCCAAAACATAAAGCAATTGATGTTTTAACTTGTAAACTCATTCGTGATTTCTGTGCTGTGTCATTTTGCTGAAGAGACATGCCGTCGAATGGGTCACAACTCGAAAGAACTGGTCATCTTTAAAAGAAGGAAACATTTCTACAAATGTTAAACAGTGATCATTTAAAAATTTCCGAAATCAGTACAACTCGAATGAACTGCTCATGTTCAAAAAGAAGGAAACATTACGTTTGTTAGCAGGTTGAAAAAATCGAACCTTCTTAATCTTTTTTCGAGACTGATTTCAAAATTTACTGAGCTTTGAGAAAAGTTCAAATCCGTAGAAAATGGCTTGCTGTTCGGCAAATGACCCTTTCGGCGAAATGTCTCGCTCCTCGTGATTCCTGCGTTGGTCACACATGAGTTTTGAGTTTTTCCGAACACTGCACAAGATAATTCCAAGAGAGCTCTGTCTAATACCCCGCACAGACTATAGCTGATATCATGTAATATAGGCTATCTTGCAATGAGCACTCATACATAGGATTTCCAGTGAAAACTAGATGTATGAGTGCTCATTGCAAGATAGGCTATATTACATTATATAAGCCAGGCTGACTGTTTTGTCATGATGGTTGAGTAATTCTGAGCTATTAGGGTGTTCAACATGGATGAGGTTGGCGAGCTGTATGTTGTTTGGAACGAGGGTGACGCGCTTGGCATAGATAACAAAATGCAACTCACGAGGAGCTACTGAATCCGATCAGTAGTGGTGCGGCTTCTTCCTCTTTCTTCGGTGAATGGACGCTCATATGGGCTGCAGCTCGCTGCTTGCGGGGAGCCTTTCGTTGTGTACTGGAGAACAATGTTCAACGCCACGCGCCGAAAGCACTGCTGCTGCTGCTGCTGACCGATTTTGAAATCTGTGTTAGGGAAAGCGCTTTTTGCAGACAATCTGGGATAATGTTGATCACCATTGCAACAATTCGACATTTGTGTAATTTTCAATTGAAAATTGAAGTGTTAACGTTAGTAGATTCGTAGAATTAAAATCCATCAGCTATTGACAGAGTTATAGGTGGTCAAAACCTGACAACTTTTCGTAACGCGGTCGATTTTGGTTTTTTGAAATTGCACCCCCAATATGTTGCCGAAAGACGTAATCCTACGTCAAAAATTCAGAGAAGCTTCGGAAACTGTATCGAGAAGTTTATGAAACTACACAGGAGTTCAGGGGAAATCTCAGAGAAGTTCAGGTACTAAACTATACAACATTTTATACAATGTTCACTCGGCTGTCGACAAAAGTAGGTTACTCTCGATGTATGCCACGCGATCGTCTGTTTTCTCGGCAGCAACCATTCCCCCTTATTCTGCGAGTCACGTGACTCTCTGTCACCGGTGAGGTGACAATTGTCACCTCGTGTGAGGTGACTCTCCATGTAAATCAAATGGAGAGTCACCTCACACGAGGTGACTATTGTCACCTCACCGGTGAGAGAGAGTCACGTGACTCGCAGAATAAGGGGGATTGTGTGGTCCTCCTCATTGTTCTTCATCAGCAGTTCTTTCGGTCGATGCGTCGTTTAGTGATGAGTGTGTGAGTGCTGACCACGTTTTGCGTCCATTGCTGCAATGGAAGCGCTCTGACCTCCGTTGGCGTTACTGCCATACAATGAAACCAGTAGAAGCGGCTCCCGTTCTGATGGAGGAGGCTTTTTGGATAGCGGAAGATCGAGTGTTTATTGTGTTGTACCTTTTAACTATAGTTTTAAGATGTATTGTATAGTGACCAAGAATCCTCGACTCTGTAAAGTTAATTCGATTGAGCCTTATCAAATAAATCAATAAACAAAAAAAAAATACAACATTTTATAGAACTTCAAATTCAAAGTCTAGGGAACGTAAAAGAAGCTTTAGAAACTGTAAAGAATTTGAAGTTAAGACAGGGCTGGTAGCAGGTCACTTTGTCTTAAAATTTGGTCACTAAAGTAACTTTTTACGACCAATGTTCAGAGTAAATAATTTGAATTCAAAAAAGTACATCAAATCTCAGCTGGATTTGGTAACAAATGTGTGAAAGATTCTTTGAAAATCAGCGTGTAAAGTCTGACAAGATGAGTTGTGAACAGAGGGGAACGTTAACTATCCCACCAAGTCGTTTTCAATCGAAAATCATCAAGTGACGATGAAGCTGTAAACCATCACTTTCAATTGAAACCCATTCTGTCTTCTCTTCGAGCAGATCCCCGTCAACATCAACAGAACCACTTTCGATCAGTTTTCATGCTGTTTGTTTTGGCTTGACTTTTGTTCATTTCTTCTTTCAGTGTCAAATGAATTTACTTTTGCATTGAAGCGAAGCTGTTCACTGTTGATTGTTCACTTGGTTCATTTAAGCGTATGCGCATAGATCTGTGCACGTGGATGTCAAATTTATCATTGTCGGGTGGTTTGTTTATCCATCAATATGGGTATTTTTTTAATCGGTTGACGTCTAGAGAACGAAAATTGATATGCGACACCATTTTGAAATCCAAGATGGCCGCTTTCCAGTTTAATAAAAAGTGGGAAATACTGTCAAATACCTATCAATAAAGGTATTTTTGGAATCGGGATGATGTCTAGAGGATCAAAATCGATATCCGACGCTATTTTGAAATCGAAGATGGCGGCTTCCGACTCAATAAAAAGTGGAAATACAGTCAAATTCATGAATCTCCTTGTCCTGTTGTAGTTCGGCAGCATCGAATTGAAGTGAAAGTGGAAAAAAACGAAGGAAGCAATTTTCGAGTCATTCATTGCGTCAATTGAAACAAGTCTTTGCTTGTTTGAATGAACTGAAGCACTTCATTTTCTTTTCTTTGTTTCGAAAATGCATAGCCCTGAAGCCCATGGATAATGTTGTCAATCAGTTTTGGCAGTTTATTATATTTGTTTTAGCCGAATTGGACCGTACTCTTGCTTGTTCAATTAATACTGATTTTTCGAGAACAAATTTATGAAATCCTTCAATCATTTGTTTTTAAAGTAGCATGCAACATGTTGATGATAGGTTTAAGGGCTGGACTGCGAATCAGAACGTTTGCATAACAACTTAACATAGCACAGCACTTGGCAAAGAGAGTGTGGTTCTCCAATTTGCTTCGCACCCTTTTTCCAACTTATCTTCGAGAAAGCAATCTGCACAAAGGGCGGTTGGAAAAATCACACTCCTTGTCGTGCAGAGAGCGAATAAAATACAAAAGGCAACCAGATATGGGAATTGTCGCGTTTGTCATTGACGCACGACAAGATACATTAAAAAATGGTGATCCTGGAAAATTCTCGACAATTTCTTCTCTAAGATCGCCTTGTCAGATCTACAAACTTCCCGGTATATCGTCGTGAAGCTTACACACCTTGCTGAAGAACCAAAAAACTGAAACAATTTTTTTTATTAAAAAATACCTGTCAAATCTTGCTCCCAAGTACCCTAAATAATTATCGTATGGGAGATATCAACAAATATACATCGCATAGGCATTCCATACAAGCGACCAACATCCGTCGTTGTTGGTGATCTGATGATATTTACATGAGCGGCAGAAGTGTTCACACGCGCACAACAACTATTAGAGAGCAGCTTGCCGCCGCTCTTGCCTTATGAATATATCTGCTAACGTACTAATCTCTACCATCTACAAAAAGATGATTCATCAGCCGTCAGTTCGCAGCGTTCCGTTCACCTGTACTGCACAGAACTGACCAGGGGCCGCATTGGGGAAGTCGAAGCGAAGCGTTTTTCGTATAAACGCTTGCATGAAAAAGTCGTTTCGACTTGGTTCCATAAGGTGGCCCCAGATTACCTGTCCGTTACTATGGTGAGAGTCGACCGCAACGGTGACTCAACCAGACGCTATACCCAAGAAAGCATGATAAAGCGCGTACTTTACACAAATATTTGAATTCTATTCGGATGCAAATTTTGTGGTAATCACACTGCACAGTCATAACGAACAAGATGTTACTCAGTGGGGAGGGGCTATATGTAAAAATGCCGATATTTCGCAACCCAAAACTCACCCCAACCATGATGGCGAGGTAATATCTGAAATCTCAATGTTCTTTATTAATTTTGAAAGACGTAACATGACATCCCTACCATGATCGATTCCCTAGTGCAATGAATATCAATCGTCCGGAAACGACATTCGCCAATGAGGCCACCCTTTTTCCTCCTTATCAGCGGCGTACCGCAAAAAAAAAGCACTCAAAATAATTACAAGTGCTATAATTATCGACACCGCCGCACCTAGGAAAACCAAAACATACAGTTTCCTGCCATCCTTCCTCAATAGTATTGCCGCTAGCCGCGCATTTCGCTGTTGTGATGGACACGAGTTTGGCTTTTGCCCTACCCACCTGCTTGTTGCCTGTTCCAGATTTATGACAACTACAACTTAATCTCGAACCGCTTACGGACGCCTCTTCTCCGCCTTCCCCGTCCCTGCTCTTATTGCCAACCCAAACCATTCATGCTTACCCCAGATTGCCTTATTCGGTGCGCTTCGGTGAAAGCCCGCACATGCCGCGTACCTGAGCACATACCATATAGAGAGCAGATGATGCCATTCCCAGAATGGCCACGCCGGCCGGCCGGCCGGTTTTATGATAATGTATCTCCCTTATAATAAACAAGCCATTTCTGTTTCCCCTTCTTCCTTCCAGACGGCCCAGCATGGCTTCCCGCACAAACCGTCGGCGGTGGCGTACGATTCGATTAGCAAAATGATGGCCATCGGAACCAACAGTGGAATCATCAAGGTATTCGGCAGACCCGGTGTCGAGTTCTACGGTCAACACCCCGCCACGACGAATGCAACCGATTCCATAGTCCAGCTGCTCGAATGGATCCCCGGAAGCGGCCGCCTGCTGTCTCTGACGGCATCGAATCAGTTGATCCTGTGGGAACCCACCGGAACGGTACTGGTACCGATCAAGACGCTTCCATTCGATGGTAAGCTTAAAAAGATTTCATCCCTATGCTGTTCGTACATGAAAGATACGGTATGGATTGGCACCGAGGGTGGTAATGTGTATCAATTCGATATCAAGAGTTTCTCCGTACGGGAACCGGTCATCTACCACGACGTGGTGCTCGAACAGCTGCCACAGTCGTACAAGCTGAATCCGGGGGCGATCGAATCGGTGAAACAGTTGCCCAACAATCACAACCAACTGTTGATTGCTTACAACCGAGGCCTGACCGTGTTGTGGGATTTGGAAGCGTGCAATGTGAAGCAATCGTTTATTTCGCCCGGCCACGGACAGAGCGTTGGGTTGTACATTTCTCCTTGCGGCACACAGTTCACCTGGTACCATGGGGATGGTTCGTTTGCAACGTGGGATTTGGACAGTGTGATTCCACCGGAGAACCAAAAGTATGTCCCCTACGGTCCGGATCCGTGCAAGGCAATCGATCGATTGATGCGCGGAAAGCGAGGCCTCTGCGAGCTGGTGGTATTCTCCGGAGGAATGCCAAGATCCGCCTACGGAGAACACCAGTGCGTGTCGGTTCACTGTCGGGATGGCACGAAGGTGGCATTCGACTTTACCTCCAAGGTTATCGACTTCTTTATTACATTCAATGACGAACGCCCCGAGCAGGTTGAAGTTCTAGTGGTTCTGCTGGAGGAGGAGTTGGTTGCGTACGATTTAACGGATGAGACCGTACCGCAGATCATTGTCCCTTATCTACATTCGCTGCATGCCTCTGCCGTTACTTGCAATCATTTGGTTTCCGGAGTGAGGCCAGATCTGTACGAGAAAATTCTCCGAGCTGGGGAATCCCAACTGGCAGATTATAGCTCCAAACCATGGCCAATTGATGGTGGAATGCTGCCGGAGACCATCGAAGACGAGCGACAAGAGTACGACCTTCTAATAACGGGTCATGAAGATGGTTCCGTTAAGTTCTGGAACTGCACCGACGTCTGTTTGACCCCATTGTTGCATGTGAAAACAGCTCCGCTGTTCAGTAACAGTGAGGATTTTGACCAACATTTGGCTGCTACCTCCATCGAACAATTAGACGAAGGAGAGCCTCCCTTCCGAAAGGCAGGACAGTTCGATCCCTATTCGGACGATCCCCGTTTGGCTGTGAAGAAGGTTCAGCTGTGTCCGATCACCGGAACATTGGTAATTGCCGGAACCGCTGGAAATGTAGTCATTGCGAACTTTGAACCGTCTCCGGAAGAACCTGGACCACTGAAGATGACCACCATGAATTTGGTCAGCGATCGCGATGGCTTCGTCTGGAAGGGTCACGATCAGTTGAAGGTCAAACGGCAACTGCTGGAGGAGAACCAGCCCATCCAGGAGGGAGTAAATGTGTTCAGCGTTCTTCAGATCCTTCCGCCGGCTGCCGTCACATGTACGGCCGTTCAAAGCCAGTGGGATCTGGTTGCTGCCGGCACGGCTCACGGATTGGTTCTGTTCGATTACCACACCCAGAATCCAGTGCTGCACAAGTGTACGCTGAATCCGAATGGTAAGTTTTAGTTGGTTTGTCCTCAATTACATAATCAGTGATGCATATTTCTTCACTAGATTTAACCGGTGCTGGTGAGACACTATCCCGTCGCAAATCGTTCAAGAAAACCCTCCGTGAATCATTCCGTCGGTTACGCAAGGGTCGCTCCACCAGGAATAATCCGAGCGCGCAGGCCGCAACTCCAGCGGAGACTCGTCCCATTGAGCGCCAGATCGAAGCCCGTGCGGTGGATGACGGAATGGGTTCCATGGTCCGGTGTCTAACATTCGCCCAAACCTATCTGACCAATCAACAGCACACCAGTCCGACTCTGTGGTCGGGAACGAATTCCAGCTGCGTGTCGGTGTTCATCCTGCACGTTCCACCCCGACAACCGCCGGTACAGAACAACGAGGCCAACGTTGATGGAGGAGATGTTCCACCGCCGAAGCCGATCACCGGACAGTTGGCCAAGGAAATCCAGCTGAAGCATCGAGCTCCGGTCATTGCGATTTCGCTGTTCGATCAGGTATGTTGGTTCTCAGTAGGGGTGGGTCGCGATCCATTGGTGAGGGTCACGGGATATGTAGCCTTAGGTGGGTAAATTTTATCATAGGTTCATACTGTTGAAAATGTTATGGAAAATTTATGTGAATTTAAAATCATGTTGCGGTAATCAAAATTGGGCTGCGAAACTAAGAACTTATTTTATTTTTTGTTTAGATGGCTTGAGTTTCAAATTGTTGACGTTAACAAGTTACAGAAAATTACAGAAAACCTTTTCGGGTGGGTTGGGTTAGTTTTTTTTTTTTATCCCATAAATAGCCCATTTGACAGGAATAATATAGCAAACATAAGTAGGGAAAGTGGGGCAAGATGGTCACCCTAATGAAACGAAACTCCACAATTTTGACCAGAAAATAATTCTTTCTATAACCCTACAGAAGTTTGTTGATGCTCCAATCATACAAATTCGATAAAAATCCATAAGAAAATTTAAATTTTTTAGGCAAAATTTTCTACACTGAAACAAGTTTTCATATAGTTTTCGTTGGGAACGCACATGATATTTTTCCAATAACAAAATTAAGAAATCATGAAATTGAATTATGAAGTTCACATAACATTCACATGATCACATGGATTCTATGTGATAAATCACATAAACTTCTTTGGACTTATAAGGTTCATGTGAGTTCGTGGTGCGATTCCCAATTATGAGACCTCATGAAAGTTATGTTGAATTCTAATGGATATTTTCCATCGGATATGTGATTAATTTTTTGAGTGTACTTAGTGGGTAAGATGGTCAGTTCTATGGGGCAAAACGAGCACCAGTATAACCGTAGGCATACTGAGTGTTTTTTTGTTCGAAAATTGGGTATCTACTGTTAACTACTGTCAAAAATTGGCAAAATGCTCTTTCTGTCAAAACACAATTTAACCCAGCCACCTCCAGCATAGTCTTGCTTTGTAGATGCACCTTAACCGCTTTACCTTCACCGGCCCCAAAGTCGTATTACCTTCTCATACTACTAAAGTACTTAGTGGTCCGTAAATGCCCTCATTGTGACTCCAATTTATATGAATCCTAGAACTTCAAAATTGGCTTAACCGAACTGGAATTTAGGGTACCGTCAAAATTTTTTTGCTGAAAATTCATGTATACGGATTTATCAAATTTCGAAAAGGTTTCATATATTGAAGTTGTTAGTCAAGCTTAACAGACCAGCGTAATTATTAAAATCTTTAAAAATAATCTGACTTTTAAATCATGTTGTGATCAAAATTGTACTTAAATAAGATCCTGTTGGTTGTAATTTTTGTTGCCCATATCGGATAGAAATTTTTATTATTAGAAGTTTGCGGAAACATTAATCAAATTTCCAATCAAATTGATTCAATTTTTTTCAAAAATTCATCAAAGTAAATTTAACTTTCATCGAAGACTACAAATCAAAAAGACTAGCAACTGTTCCCTTCTCCCATACAAATGTCAAACGTCACTGATAAAAGCGCCTCTGTCAATCAAAGGTGGAACTTTGAAGCACAAGTGTTAGTGAGACTGCTCATTAACAGTGACTGTGTGGGTGACCTAATGTCACCGAAACGAATAATCATAACACGGTACTCGTTGTTGTTTTTGTTTTGCTCTACAAAATTTCACGGCAATTTGTATCCTAATCCCAGCAAGCCGGTGGTTTTCCAACTCCAAACGGAAAAACTTGTCATCGTGGATCAAGTATAGGATTGAAACTCGGATCGATACCTAGCGAAAGTAACTTTTACTTGTGAACGAGGAACCGAAATATTGTTTATTTTGCCTGTTGGAAGCAATCAATCATAAAGAATTGGCAGCTTCCACCACCATTGAGTGAACTACTGTCATTCGGAAGCTGCTGAAAATTTAAGGATTCAAAAAGACGAAAGATCCGGTACCTACATCACGATCCAATGGAAGGCGTAGCAGGATCTAATGTTGAAGAAAATGAAAATGAAAGGTTGAAGGACTACAATCCCAATGTTGTCAGAACATGAAACCACCGGATAGTGATCCTCTGTATGCTTTAACAATTCTTGGAATCGACCTACCCCTTTCAGAGAATGATAACAACAGTGTTGGATTGGTCAGCGAGTACTGTGCCAAGTTGCCGAGCGTCACAACTTGACTCCTCCCGCTGTGGCCAAGTGCCAAAGCCGTGTGAAACGGGCATGCATTTTACTATGCCCATAAACGGGCACCATACGAATGCCCATAAATGCATCACTTAAGGGCTTAAGAAAAGTGGAACATAATTCTGAGATAGCAAATTAATGATCGAGGAAGGTCCCACCATCATTGTGAAGGGCATGATTGCCATAGTTTTTTCATTTCAAAACAATTTTTCTTACGGATTCAATTTCAGCTGAAATGTTACTCGTTGTCAGCATAAAACAAAGAAAGAAACGTTTCACTTTTTACGACAATCATAACAAAACCAATAATTGACAGCTATTCGTTTCTACCTATGTGTGTGAATGCACTCTTGACTTAACACACACCATCATACACAGGTTCCACTTTTGCTCAGAAGAGGCGTTGCCGTTTCTGTCTCCTGATTTTTGGCAGAGTTGCCAGTCTTCTTGATTGGTAGTCTTCGCTTTTATCCTTCACTCTAAAATTCAATATTTTTTTTTTTTTTTTTTTTTTTTTTTAACTCTTTATTTGTTCTAAATTCAAAATAAATTACATTTCATTTTTAACCTAGGTGCTCCAGTTACTACAGTAACTTACCAGCCTTAATTGTTATGATATATATCTAATTGTTTTAACATTGTTCCTGTCTTGGCAATTCAGTATTTTAAACAGGTTTTTTTAAACCTGCATGTCAGTATAACAATTGATAGCTTAAAACTAAATAACTAAAACTAAATCTTATCTAAGTATAAAGGGAATTAATCGTTACAATTGAGGATTGTAACGATTTTTGCCGGAAATTATTAATTATTTTGTTGGACATTTGTGCTAAAGTCTCAACATTCGAAATTCTATGTACTTCGGTAGTACTGTACCAGGGAGGCAACTTCAAAATCATCTTCAGAATTTTGTTCTGAATCCTTTGAAGTGCTTTTTTCCTGGTAGTGCAACAACTAGACCATATTGGCACAGCGTAAAGCATGGCCGGTCTAAAAACTTGTTTAAATATTAGAAGTTTATTCGTCAGGCAAAGTTTGGATTTCCTGTTTATAAGAGGATACAAACATTTAATATATTTGTTACATTTGGCTTGAATGCCCTCAATGTGATCTTTGAAAGTTAATTTTTGGTCAAGAACTAATCCAAGATATTTCACTTGGTTTGACCAGGAAATTGGAACTCCGTTCATAGTGACTATGTGACTACTACTAGGTTTCAAAAAGGAAGCCCTAGGCTTATGTGGAAATATTATAAGTTGAGTTTTGGAAGCGTTGGGAGAAATCTTCCATTTTTGTAAATAAGAAGAGAAAATATCTAAACTTTTCTGAAGTCTGCTGCAAATAACACGAAGACTTCTTCCTTTAGCGGAAATGCCTGTGTCATCAGCGAACAAAGATTTGTGGCAACCCTGAGGCAAATCAGGGAGGTCCGAAGTGAAAATGTTATACAATATAGGCCCAAGAATGCTACCCTGAGGAACTCCTGCTCTAACAGGTAGTCGATTAGATTTGGAATTTTGATAATTTACCTGCAGAGTTCTGTCAGTTAAATAATTTTGAACTAATTTCATAATGTAAAGTGGAAAATTAAACTTTTTCAATTTAGCAATCAAACCTTCATGCCAAACACTGTCGAATGCTTTTTCTATGTCTAGAAGAGCAACTCCAGTTGAGTGGCCTTCAGATTTGTTTGAACGAATTAAATTGGTAACTCTCAAGAGTTGATGAGTAGTTGAATGCCCATGGCGAAATCCAAACTGCTCATCTGCAAAAATTGAGTTCGTATTGATGTGAAGCATCATTCTATTCAAAATTATTTTTTCAAAAAGTTTACTTATTGAAGAAAGCAAACTTATTGGACGGTAGCTAGAAGCTTCAGCTGGATTTTTATCCGGCTTCAAAATTGGAACAACTTTTGCATTTTTCCATTTATCAGGAAAGTATGCCAAATGGAAACATCTGTTAAATAATTTTACCAAGAAAGACAAGGTACTCTCTGGGAGTTTTTTGATGAGGATATAGAAAATTCCATCATCACCTGGAGCTTTCATATTTTGAAATTTTTTAGTTATAGACCTTACTTCGTCCAAATCAGTCCCCCAGGAATCATCAAAAATATTTTCCCGAGAGAAAATATTCAGAAAATCCCCAGCAACCTGATTCTCAATAGGACTAGTAAGACCCAAACTGAAATTATGGGAACTCTCGAATTGCTTAGCAAGTTTCTGAGCTTTTTCCAAATTTGTGATCAAAATTTTACCACCTTCTTTAAGCGCTGGAATAGGCTTTTGAGGTTTTTTCAAAATTTTTGTGAGTTTCCAAAAGGGTTTGGAACTCGGGTCTAATTTAGAAACATTATTTTCAAAAGTTTTGTTCCTCAGGGCAGAGAATCGCTTTTTAATTTGTTTTTGCAAATCCCGCCAGATAACTTTCATGGCAGGATCGCGTGTTCTTTGAAATTGTCTCCTACGGACATTTTTAAGACGGATCAAGAGCTGAAGATCATCGTCTATTATAATTGAATCGAATTTAACCTCGCATTTTGGTACTGAGGCAGCTCTTGCTTCAACTATAGAAGTAGTCAGAGATTCAAGAGCATAATTAATTTCATCTTTGGTTTGCAAAGGAATGTTTGGATCGAAGTTATATTCCATAAATGTTCGATATTGCTCCCAATCAGCTCTATGGTAATTGAAAGTAAAGCTGTTGGGATTAGACATTATTTCTTGGGATATTTCAAAAGTTACTGGAAGGTGATCAGAACCGAAGTCAGCATGGGTAACCAATTGGCTACAAAGATGACATGAATCAGTTAAGGCCAAATCAATAGTTGAGGGATTTCTTGCAGAAGAA